CAGCTCTGTACGAATCGCGCTTTTCACTCGTGCAACCAGGTCCGGCGTAAACGCTACCCCTGGTTTCAGGAGCAAAAAGAGCATGACCCGCTCGTCTATATCTGTTGGTCGTCGCTGGCCGACACATATGGAGTCAACAATCTCTTTCGAAAATTGACCCTCGAGTACCCGATAGATCTCTGCCGATCCAAACCGCACACCCGATGGGTTGAGGACCCCATCGGCGCGTCCGTGAAACACGATCTGTTTCGTGATTGGATGGATGGAAACGAAGTCACCGTGTGTCCACACATCTGTAGATAATTAGCGACCATACAAAGAGGCAGATGAAGAGGGGGGGTGGGCCCACTATCGAATCTCCCAAAATACGAATCATGGTACTTCTTGCCGCCCTCGTCACCCCACAACAGTGTGGGCATGTTGGGAAAAGCAGACGTGGCGACCAATTCGCCCGGAACACCCTCCTCCACGGGCTCACCCTTGATTCCGTCCCCGCCCTCAATTGTCGAATCGTAAACCTCCACGGGAATGCCTAGGCTACATCCGCCACATCCGCCAACATACAGGGGGGCAAGAGGGTTGCCGATTCCAAAGCACCCTGCGATATCAGTGCCGCCAGAAATATTATTCAGGCGAACATGGGATGGGAACCCTTCGTCGTAGAACCACTCAAACAATGCATCTCGTAGGACCATGCCAGTGCTTGTGACAACCTGTAAAGAGCTGAGGTCAACTTTCTCACGGGGCTTGATCTTAGCCTGCTGTAACTCATGCAGCCACCGGGGTGATATTCCAAGGTGGGTCACCCTGCAATTGATTAGCCTGGATTTTACACCGTAGAGTATGCTAACAGAAGGACGACTTACTTTTCCTGGGCTGCAAGATCAACCAAAGCCGTAATGCTTGGAATAAATGGGCTTCCATCATATAGCACAACCCGCGCACCAAAGAGCAAAGTCTGCACGGCGCACATATACATAATCCATCCAGTAGTTGTGTATTGCAAGGCGACAGAATCAGGCCTATGCTCAGCGTGCAATGTCCCCTCCTTCATCGAGTTTAGAAGCACACCACCCACAGAATGGACGATACACTTCGGCTGCCCTGTCGTGCCAGATGAGTAAACCACCAAGAAAGGATCACGGAATCCAACTCTTTCAAATTCAAGTTTCTCGTTGCCGCCTGCCTTTTCGAGATACTCCGCCAGAGTCTTAGTCCTAGGAATGGAGCCGATATCCGCCGGCCGCGAAGAGAACCGAGGTAGTGCGATGACTCCCTCAAATTCAGGATCAGACTCCATGCCTTGAACAATTTCCCCAATCTTCGGTCGCAAGTCAATGGTCTTGCCACTGTAAACAGCAAAGTCGTCCATAAACAGCCAACGAGGCTTGATCTGAAGCAGTCTATCCAGAACACCCTTAGTACCCATATCCGTAGAACTAGACGAGAAGATAGCTCCCAGAGCCGTTGACGCCAGGAACACAAGCAGTGTGTCAATACTATTTGCTGCACAGAGAGCAATACGATCACCCCGAACGACCCCATGAGCTTTCATAGCCTGAACCAGCGCTCCAGTCCGTCGTCGCAGCTCACCCCAGGTAAGATGGACAACCTCATGCGCAGCACCTTCTCGGACTTCACTAACGGCAATCTTGTCGTCTTCCTTGTCTGTTTTGACTCCAGCAACGCGCGAGAAAAGTAAATTTTCGGCGAAGTTCAGGCGTACACCAGCGAACCATTCGGGCACGCTGTCCATCCGAGCGGATTCATCGACTACCTTGGTATAGGACCCCTCATGGATCAGCTGGAAGTATTTCCAGCAGAATTCCCAGAATGCCGAACGGTTCTTGACTGAATACAGGTACATATCATGGAAATTCTGGGGGAAGTTAGATTATAGAGTATCTTTACATCGGCTATCTTCACTCACATCGAACTTGCGTCCGGTGGATTTCTCTAGGTCGTGCTGGAAGTGACCCATCTGGGTCAACTCTGGGGCTGGATGTTCCCATATCTTACGTGGAAGGGATGTCATCTTGAAGAACTCAAGTAGTAATATGTGAGGAATGTAGAACTTCTCTAATCTTCCGGTTTTATATCCCTTCGAATCTTACCGAGGCCCGAACCAGATTTATAAGCGGGTAGCCTGCGGGGACCCCGCTTGCCAGGGATCTACCCGTTGACATGACCGGACCTACTGTACACACATGGAACATCTACAGATCATAATCACTTTGGCATTCAAATTTTGGATCTATTTAACCGAACTGGAAGATTATAAGCATGGAGCAATATAGCAATTGGCTTAATTCTTGGATGTTTCGCTTTTAAGACAGATTATCTCAAGTTCTGCATTTATGCCTGATTTGACAAGCTGTCCGCTTCTGTTTGAGAATACAACCTTCTCCTCTATATGCTGTCCTTGTCAACATTAACATCAAATCACCAAAGCCCCTTTTGTTTTGCCCTAAACTTCGTATCTTATGTGGTTTTTCAGCCCTATGTGCATAAATTGAGCTAACTGAACTTTATACAAGTCTACCCGAACAATGGAGTACCTAAAACACGGTATAACTTCGGGCTTAGCGCCCAACTTGTAACTGTCAAGCGCTATCATCGCTTCGTAAAACTGACTACAGGACCCGTCAATCCCTATGCTAGATCTTGGTATATATGAGATGCGACGAATGTAGTGTTGGAGGGCTACTTTCCTTTCCATCCTACCCTCATTTTCCAATGCCCCGGCGGTAGTTGTCTTCCTGACAGTCCACATTCCTTTTTTTTTATTCTACAAGATGAAGAACCTTTCATTGTTCTCACTGGTAGCCCTGGCGGCTATCCTCAATGCGTCCGTTTATTATTTCTTCCATTTCATCGCCAATGGCAAATTCACAGGATACTACGAGTATTGGTCTCGATGAAGGTATTTTTCATACAATGTAGTAGCCTCGGATGTTGCATCTTCCACGAGCAATTTGACCTTACAAAAGGCGCTATTGCCTATAGATCACACTGCAGATCTATCTCCGGCTTCATACACGAGGACAGTCTTCAGATTATCCGTAAGTAGTGAGACGGTCCAAGGTGGAGGGGTGAGCGCGTTGGTGAGAGTGTAGCTAAGATTGTCGGTTGGGTTATACTAAGGGGAGGCATCGGAACGACCACTCGAAGAATGGAGAATCAGGTCACCAATAAGCCAGGTGTTCTGATCTACTTGGTTGATTGACTCCCTAACATGATCTATACTTTGAACTAGATGGCAACTTCTTTCACGGGGTCTACGGTGTTGACTAAGGGGGGGAGATAGATACATTTCAAAGGAATATAAATGTTACTGAGAAGTAGGAATAGAAGAGAGAATTAAAATAAGGCAGAGATTATATAAAAGTAGTACCTGCCTATTACTACATGTAGTATGATGTGGTAGAATTGGGTTGTGCCTACTTATTCGCCTTCTCTCGTAAACTCATCTTCCCCCGGTCCTTCCCTTCCCCTGGTCTTTCCCTTCCTCTTTCTCCTTTCTCCCTTCATCTCCACTCGCACAGCCGTACAAACTCCATCCCCTTAGAAACAGGGAATTACCTGAGCGTGAGAATCCAGGATTAGATCGACTCTCAGAAAGTTCGCTGACACAAATGGGCCATTCCATTTTGGAGGCATTCCATTTTGGAGGGGGGGTTGGCTTTCAAGCTAGGACCCCCAAACTCCAATGCACCTAGGTGTTTGGAACCAAACCGACCAAGGAAGGCGAGGAGCCCAAGATCCGACCTCAAACAATTTCCTCGAAGTGATCGAACCAGGTTTCTTCAGCTTCAATCTAAAGCCACAGGAAACCTCTTTCAAAAGAACAGTTGACTTTTCATGATCATTCTCATCGGTAAGTCACAATAACTATATAGGAGCTAACTAGTGCAATAACTAATACAGTCTTGTTTAGTCGTGAATACCCCGGACCAACAATACCGATATCTATCTGCTGAAATGCTCTATTGGCGTTGTTCGTCGGTATTCCTTTCCTCTCTCCTAAGAAAAACTGGGGATATTCAAATTGCTCGAGGCTAGCAACCCATGGGTCTCGATAAAGGTATGTTCCTTACGTCTAGTATCACTAGATTTTATAATGACGATGATTGTATAGAGCAAACCCCGATTCAATTACCGTCAACCTGATAACCAACTGTGCGACATCCCGTACCAGATCGCATGGTCATAGCAAACGGACCATCTGGTAGGGTCGATATAGCACTGTCCAGAAATATACAACAACAGGACTAATAGTTTCAAAGGACGTTCTGCTACAGCCTCTACCAAGGAGATGATTAGAAGGCAGTGGACGCAACGCGTCTGCAAAGACCAGAACCTGTCGAAGCAAACAAGGCCACTTTGTGGCATGAAGCCAAGTCAGGTCAATCAATCGGCTTCTGGACTCTCCACCAGGGTACCGGGTGATATAACTTGGCATCCTTGATGTCGTCTTGCCTCGGTTTTTTATGTCTTGCATTGGTTACAACCCTTTTCTCACCTTTTGACATCATGGGGAGGCTGGTGTTGAAATCCGGTTACGGCAAAAAGCGTTGACTCGCCACGACCAATGACGACCTTCAGTGCACGGCGACGATACGAAAATGCTGATTCGCCGGGGAAAGGTAGATAGACAATCGAGTTATTGCTACATACGATGTTCCTCTGGAGCTACGCATTGACGCCTGAGTGGCGGTGTACATCAGACAACATGGAACCCAACAAGTCTGAAATAATCTAATAATACCAACTCCTTAATTATACATTACAAGGCCCCAGGACACAAATAATAAGCACTATAATTCTGATTCTGATATATAATTTGAACTGGTGTATCATCAAAGCCTGACAAAAGAAAGAAAAAACAAAAAACAAAGCCCCAAGGCAACCTGAGGTAGCCTACAAGCCCCCACACCTCAACATCCCCAACTAGCGTACAGCACCGGCTCTCTCACCCCCCCAACAGCGAATTAATTAACTCATTTGAACTTGCGCTTCAACCAGGACATGAACCCGCCCTTCTTCTTCTCGACCTGCTCTGCTAAGGGCTCAGATGTCTTCTGGGTCTCTTGCTGGGCCTTGCCAGCTTCCTCCTTGACAGGTTCGGCCTTAGTCTCGGGCTTGGGTGCCTCATCCTTAGGCAGGGGCTCCTCACCACGCTTCAGGGCAGCTTCGGGCTTCTTAGGCTCAGCCTCCTTGGCAACGACTGTGGCGGCCGCCGGGGGAGCAGCAGCTCTATCGCCCTTGGAAGAAAGAATGGCAGCGTTCGCGGCGGCGATCGCTTCGGGAGAGGAGGCAGGCTTGCTGGCGCCGGTCTGAGCAGGGGTGCTCTTGGGGGCGGACTCGACGGGGGTCTTCTGAACGGCCTTGGGTGCCTCAGCAACCACAGGAGTCTCAGCGACCTTCTTCTCCTCGGCGATTTTAGGTGCTTCAGCGACTACAGGGGTTTCGGCGACCTTCTCCTCGGCAACCTTGGGTGTCTCAGCAACCTTAGGTGCCTCGACCTTCTCCTCGGCGACCACAGGAGTCTCGGCGACCTTCTTCTCCTCAGCAATCTTAGGTGCCTCAGCGACCACAGGGGTCTCGGCGGCCTTGGGCGCCTCGGCGACTACAGGAGTCTCGGTAGCCTTAGGTTCCCCAGCCTGAACAGGCACAGGCTCAGGGGTTGTCAAGGCAGCGGTGGAAGCGGGTCCAGCACCGGCCAATGTCTCAATAGTCTTCTTGTCCTCCACCACGCTAGCGCCGAGCGCCTCCTCATCGGTCTTGGGCATCTTGTGGGGCTTCAGGTTCTCCTCGTTGTTGAAGATGGGATTCTCATACGGGCGCTTAAAGTGGGCAGCATCGGCCTCGACGGGAACGGCGGGAGGCACGGGCGCAACGACAGCAGGGACATCGGTTGATTCAGCGGTCTTGGGTCGCTCAACCAATGTCTCAGAAACGCCGGTCGTGGCGATCGAGGGAACGGGCTCCTTAGTGGTCGTCTCCGGGAGGATAGCTGCAGATTTCCAAGTTAGTTGAAATCCTTGTCGCATTTTGACTAACACGCGTCATACCAGTGCCTGCGGCAGCGCCACCTTCCAATTCGCCCAACTGGCCGGCCTTGGAGGCTTGCGCCTTCTCCACGGCCTCTTCCACTGTACCCTTGTTCTCTGTTGCGAGAGCCTCCTCGGCCTTCACAGCCTCCTTGGTCTCCGCCACAGCTGGGATCTCAGTTGCGGGGGCCGAGGTCGCGGGGGTGGGCTCCGGCGCCTTGCTAGGCTCAGCGACGGTCTCGGTAGGCTGTGTCGCAGTCTCGGGCGCCTCTGTCTGTTCGACAGTCTCAGTCTGGCCTTCAGTTTGGTTGGTCTCGTCGACGGTTTCGTGACCGGGTTCACTGAGCAGTTAGATGGTGATGTGGCATAATGTTGAATTTTTCAACTTACACCACGTCCTTGACGTTGTCTACAACGGCAGCGACGGGCTTGCTGCCCTTCTTGTTCTTCTTTCCTCCTTTCTTGGCCATTGTTGAGATGAAATTTATTCTGCGCTGGTCAGAAGACTGAAATATAGAAGAAAGATAAGTCAACTTACGATAGTAGTGAAGTGTAGGAAGGAAGAAGTCAAGTAAGGGATGACGCGGTATGTTCTCGTCGCTAGGGTTCTTGGGATCCGTGGTGAGGACAGTTCTGGAACACAAAGTTTTTTCTTTATTTTCGACTTCTATCCGGCTATTATTAGATTCAAATGCATTCAAATTTCTATTCAAAATCAAAGACTTCAATTCGTTCTATCTGTCTCTCTCATTTTTCTCTCCATTTTTACTGTACATTCCTCCGCATGCGATGTCTCTTCATAGTTCCCTGGTCGTGTGAGCTTGGGCCAGCCCTAATGTCTGCATCGGGTAAATAGGGTTGTGCCTGCGCAACTAGGGGCCGCCCAGGGGCAGTAAGTAGGGTAATCAGGGCCAAGGGGGCTCAAGGATGATCTGGGGAAGGGTGCAAAGTCGAACACAGGACACAGTATATTCCATGCCCAAGTTACTCAAGGACTGGACATTCTTGGAGAAAGGGCAAAATAGTAATTACATCATTTCTGGAACTGTAGAGGATCACAATCAAAGACAAAAATAGTACATACGTAATCATTAAAATAGTAAAAAATAGTAAATAAGTAAAATAAGTAAAATAAGTAAAATAAGTGCAATAAGTGCAAAGTACTCCGTAAAATTCAAGATCCATGGCTTTTGAAAGGACCTCCAATAGAGTCAGAAATGGTACCCCCACTAGGTGTACTTTGTGTATGATGTATTGCGTGGCAGTGGGTTGAGGCGTTATTACATGCATATTCCAACATAGCATTTCAAATAATGCCAACTGGACCTTTGATCATAAACTATGAGGTCATCAACATAATATTATGCCTAATAAAATCAAAATACAAAACAGAAATCCAACAGATAAATAGAATAAAAACAAAAACAAAAACAAAAAAGAAGTGACCGACGCAGGGATCGAACCTGCAATCTCTTGATTCGTAGTCAAGCGCCTTGCCATTGGGCCAGCCGGCCGTGTTATTGGAAGAGGCAATGAAAATGTGCATTATTAACCAATACCACACCCCACGGACAGGCAAACGCGGCAAAAACGTGCCGAGTGGAGGCAAGCGGGGCAATCGGGGGCAAGCCAAGTTCCACTCCAATTCCGGTTTATTCCCGTCTGTTGGCTTGGACAGTTTGATCAACACATTTCATGACAATGACAATTCGGCGATATTTCGTGACACATCGCTTTTATAATGATGTAACCGTGAGGCTGACCGCGCTTTTCTGGAAGCCTTCGCTGCAGTACGCCACCGACATCCCGGATGATCAATCGTTCTATTATACTTGGTTTATGACACGCAGCCAATATGAAGGATCCTGTTCGTTACCACTATCTGTTACTTTGAATCACCTTACTCCGTGGAAGTGTGCTAGTAACAGTGACATTGCAATTTCTTGGCCCAGACTCGGCCGGTTCTCGGGCCACCTCCTCGGGGAATTAAATTTGTCGGGGTTGCCGATATACAAAGACATTGAATCGACAATTAGAATCTTCAAGTAGAGAATGTTTGACTATTGAAGTGCAATAGATACGGAGTAGCAAGGTAGCAAATGAATCTGATAATATCTACAACATACGTACTTTGCACTTCTCGCACAGTGGATCCCGTTTGAGGCCATTTTGCCCCAATATCCTCACCGGATATGGACCGCAGACGCTTCTGGGGAATCCGGACATCCCACCTTGGCTTATCTCTCTTGCCGTCGCATCCACATCCATCGACTATAATTCCCGCATTTCCCCATCTCTTCTTTTTTACTTCCTTCTTTCTACTTTCTACTAATTTTCCTCTCTCTCTCTCTCTCTATCATAGAAATCATAGAATGATTACATTGTTCCTGAACCAAAAACCCCGCTATTCGTGCTTGCACACCCACCGCGTCCGTTCCCAATCCGGGAGTGGTATGCACTGAGGCATTTTCCTAGGAACCGCCCGCATTGATCTCTGAACTTCTTGAATTTGAATCTTGAATATCCCAGTTCACAATTCTCTTTTCTCTCCAAAATGACGTTCCGCGAGAAGGTCAAGCGGGTGTTCCGCTCCTCCAAAAATAATGGAAAGCCCAAGGTCGAATATTATAGACGACACGAGTGTCCCCCTTCGAAATTTCGTGGTCCTTTCGACCGCGCCCACCAAAAGAGCCTAGCCGCTTGGTCCTTCGAAGGTGCAATGGTCGAACGAACTCGTTCATTTGAAATCTCCGTCTCACCCTTTGCCACGTATGAGGGTTCCGGCGGTTATACCGGCCCATCCGATTCTGATAACTCGGTGTCTCCGGAGGATGATGTCGATCCAGGTACGCATTCCCAGCCCTAATCAAAAACCTCACCTCTATCCAAGAAAATTAATTCTAACGTCGGTTTTTTTTTTTCGATAGCCTCCTCCCATTCAGAGGCCCCTGCTGAATCATCGCCACGCGGCCCCGACTCCGGCTCTCAGTCCTCCACCGTCGTCGACCCCTCCAGCTATAATGGCTCAATGATGACCCTGATAAACGAGGGCTCTATCTACGAGATCCCAGAGGATTCAAAGGACCCCAAGTTCTTCCTCAAGGAGTCCATCCGCTACTCTTCACCCCTCGTCCACGCCATCTCGCCCGCGATAACCCCGTGCGTTATGTCCGCCCGAAAGGATCTCCCTTTCGCCCCCGAGGATCTCGCCCGCGCCTTGATCGCCGTCCAGGTCTGCGCTTGAGTCATCTATCCCTTATACCCAACCTACTTTCTTCACATCCAGGAGATTGTTCCTTTTTTACGAATCACCCCTTCCATTCCTCGAGACTCGATGTCTTTTATTTATTCAACCCTTTTTTTGGTTCCTCTACCACGGTCGGACATCACCATCTCGATACCATCTTGAGTATTGATGTCCACCATCTCTGAACTCACTCCGCGAACCAAGTCGCTCCTCGCTAGATGCCGAGGACTTTCAGTTAGCGATGGTCTTTCCCTCACATTTGTTATGCATTTGCATCTAAGCGTATACCCGTTAAGGATTTTGCTGTTTGTTTTATCTAAGTTTCTTTTTTTTTTTTTTTTTGGCTGGGGTCTGTTGGTTTTGCTTTGATTCTAAATCATTCACCCCCTGGCCTCGTGAGCCATTGCTTTTATCACGATATACACGTTGCCAATGTCTTTCTTAGATGGTCTAGAGAAAAATAAACCGTTGCTTCGGATAACCTTGTGGGTCTTTGGCCTGGACTATAAAACTCCGAATAATGAAATCCAAAAAGGTACAACGCACGATCCATATAGATCGCTCTAGATCCCAAGTCTTCTTGTTCTCGAAGAATCTCCCCCGCTAAAGCCAAGCTTTCTTCCCCCGCGCCAAGATCGCATATCGCTCTATTCCGGTAATGTTTCGTATGATCAGCTCGACTATCACCAATAGGCTTTTTGGTGAGCATGGTGTCCGTGCAAATACCAAAGGGGGCGAACCTTATCGCGTTGGGGTTGGATAACTTCTCTATGAGGTTATGAGGCTGTTTTGGTGTTGACTTGATCTTGGTCTGGGCTACGGGTAATTATACCGCATAGTGCATATGTAGGTACATAGCATCCATGGATGTATGCATTACAGTGAGACTAATCAAGTCCAAATTAATGGTTAAGGAATAAACTTTGGAATACACGTTCATATAATTATTTGTCGCCCTATATGTGTCGACCCCGGGTCACCAAAATCCGGGTAATGGGGGGAGCGGGGGACCCGTTCGCGGATTTCGAGGTTTACCTGCGCTGAAAACGGACACGGACAATGTTTTCAGGCCGCTAATTGGCTTTTACTCTTGTATTAAGTTCATAGGGCTGGAGATATTTAACTTAATCAAAAATGTCATGATAAAAAATAAAAATAAAATATCAATCGTTGGGGTAAGTTTTCGACTCAACGTCACAAAGACCGGTCTTATTCATGAAATATCAAGTTTGATGGCACTTTCAAGTTTCTACACACCTCGTTGCAAGGCAAAAGCGACTTGTTCTCATTTTCGGGGTTTTTCAAGGCTACCTACAGACGTAGTCGAGTTGTCTAAATTACATCATATACCATGTATAAAAGTGGGATATAGTTTCTCTATGGTAGAAATCAAGCAATTTCTAGGAATTATGGTAGAACGAAAAGAACTTCGTCTACCATTCAAACTTATTAAATCAACAATTAATCTTTGGGCATTAACTCTATCGCTTGGTGTGATTGCTACTCCGTTTCAAGTTGTACGCCGAGGAAAGTCAATTCCCAATGGAAACAGCTTCCGTACTTTTAACATTCAGATTAGATGACTTGCCTGAGCTGCTGCTGTGGCTTATTGTGATCAGAACATCCATGCAACCGGAAGAACTCTTACCTACGGTAATGGGGCCTGTCCCCTGGTTGAAGCAGCAAATGCAGTGATTATAGACACATTCCAGTAGCACACGTACATGACAGGCTAAAACCTAGAAACTAATAGTTAACCACACATTTTAGTCACAATCCTAAAGATCTAGCAGGCTACCTCGCCCTGGATAAATCCCGGAAGCTTAGCATATTGGCCTTTCGCAGTAAACGCCGCTCGACTTTTTCGGCTTGTATAGGCACACATATCCCGAATACTGGATAAATCAAACAGATTTCACGTCCATTGAAGCATCAGATGTCAAATATATCGTGGAGGCCAACAAAATTGATAGAAATGCAGGTACAGGTTTGAATTTTACCAACATTGTTCCCACAATTGGTATTTTGAACACATAGGAAGCCTGAAAGTATGCGCGGAAACGGCCGATGCACAGGTTGGAACAATCTGTCGCTCTAATTATACTCACAAAAGACATTGCCACTTGTGAGCTCTCAGGTAAGTGAAGAGGAATTTCCCTCAAATGGTAGTCTCTACGAGCTGGTTATAGCCCACCTAGGTATAAGTTTAGCTTGCTAACCCATAATATCCTAAAGGTCATTGACGCTTGTAGACTACGTCGCTATTCAATGAATAAATTGTGCAAAATAACCAGTTTGTATTAGAAGTCCACTCCACCTAATATATATTCATATCCTGACCCCCATTTCGACCACAAACATTCCATAACCTCAATTTTAGCTAATATATACTTTACTAACTCTAATATTTGGCTACAAAATTGACATGTATTGAAAGAAAGTAAAAGAACCCCCTCATTAACTGTTTGGATGAGTGCCCATTGGTTGAATTATGTCACATTAAATTCATCACATGATCACCTTCGCCCTAGGTCAATCTAGATGATTATTTACATGGGCACCATAGAGTACAAGTGAATATTGGAGAACTAGTTCTGTTTGATAAATTATATAGACAATTTAAGGAGAGCGTATATCACACATGCTGTGACGGTGATACACAGAAGAAGAAAAAAACAATCCCAACGACAAAACTGCTAGCCGGCGGATTGCATTTTTATTATTGAAAATTCGTAATTTCCCTAATAATTTCCGAAGTACTAGTTGAAAACGTAGAGTTTGGTGTTGAAAGAAGCCTCGTAGAATGCGTAGTTGAATGAAAGATGGGGCTGAAAGAGATCCTTGAATTAATATGACCCATAGGGAAATTGAGGGCATAGTAGTATCCCATTAATGAAAAAAAGAAAAAAAAAATTCATGGTCTGTTAGAATTATACCGCTGTACTGCATAGAATTTAATATGTCTCATTTTTGGGATAAAGCAATGATCATTGTACTCCGTATAAGCCGAGTCGTTTGGAAGACACAGTAACGGTAACACGTGGAACGGGACCTGGAATAAATCATGTCGTGGATTTGAATTTGGCCTGAGATAAGGCTGGCTTCGTGAGACACCAACAAGACTATTCTGAGAGTGCGCACGGTGTAACACAGCCCATATGGGATGCTGTCTTGAGAGGCCCCAGGCCCCAAGTTCATTGATAATCAATATTATCGGCTGTGGTGCCAAGAGGGGTTGGATCCCTGTAAAGTTGCACGCCTCGATTAAGATGTGGAATCTGATCATACTAGATTGGGTTTAAGCACATTGGCGCTGGGGCTTGAGTTCCACTGCTGTCACCGCTGCGGTTTATTGCATCTAGAAGTATTTCGCTTATTTGGAATGATTGAACTACTCCGTATGGCGCACAGAGTATTCTAACCTGGTTCCTAATGGTAAGGATTCCGGAAAGGAGTTCGATGAGTAGGAAGGTATTGGCCTCAGAAGTCTAAATCATCACAATATAAGGAGTGTTGTACATAGTTCCATGATGTACAAAATTATAGTGAGTCTTACCCATACATAGTTCTTCTGTAAGAATAGAATCAGTTATGTTTACACTCAGCTGCATATACTTGTACTTGTTTACGGCCCCTACGTAACGTCACAATACCGGCCATATACTTCAAATGTACTCCACTTGCAATTGAAAGAAGAGCTAGTCAGATAACCTACCTAAGTACTTAGCCAAGAAAGGCAATCCGACTAGATCGAACTTTTTCATCAATTGGCCTGAGCTGAAAGATGCCGACGTGCTCCAAGGCAGGAACGTCTACACTGTACTTAATGCAACTCTCGCCCACTAGAAGCATGCCCTAACTTCTATTACATGGAATATTCCTTCTTCAAGTTCACTCTCTTTGTTTTCTATGGCTCTTTGTGACTTGTTTGTCAATCACTACATCGAAACATCAATCCAACTTCTACTTCATCCAATAAAACACACCATGCTTCGCTCTCTGCGCCGTTTTCTTTGCTTTTCCTCTTCCAAATCATATGAACCCACTGATTCCACAACAAATGGCACAGAAAACGTGGAAGATCCCATTCGCTTGAGACCCGATGGCAGAACGATTGCTCAAGCACGAGTTGCGAGTCCCTGCCTCGAGGGGCTTGGAAGCGTACAGTCCAGGGCTTCTTCAGTTTCTCCCTCTAGCTGCGATAGCAGCACACAAACCGAATCGACAAATGCCTCAGATAGTGAAACCAGAGCAACGACAATATCAACCGTCATTGGAAACACTTCCACGCCCCCCGAGTCACCTGTCAAGCCTACCTCCACACCAAGATTGAACACAATCACACCGTATACCCCCATCCTGCAGGTAGATGGCAGCCTCCGAGCCCCACAGGTCACATTCGATGGCTACGGCTCCTATGGGGGCCGGTTCGCCCCTGAATCTATAATGGGATTCCTATACGAGCTGACATCATTCTTCGAGGCCACCGTCTCAGACCCCTCGTTCTGGGAAGAATATGCCACGTTCCAGCGTTCCAGCACCACCCCACTACACATGGCTGGGAGGTTAACCAGTCTGGCAAGTGGGGCTACCATCTGGCTGAAGCGCGAGGACAAGAATGAATACGGCAGCCACAAGACCCGCAACATCATTGGCCAGCTCCTGCTGGCTCGCCGGATGGGCCGCTCTGAGATCGTCACAGATTGCGCCTCGGCCAAACATGGCAAGTTCACCGCTGCAATGTGCACACGTCTAGGATTGCGTTGTGTGGTCGTCATTGGTGCAGATGACGCTAGTGCCCAGGAGCAGGACGTGCTCGAGATCAAGTCGCTCGGCGCTAAGGTCCTGACAGCTCGAACCCCCTCCGGCATGGGTAGTCTACGTGCTGCTATCACAGAAGCACTGCGATATGCGGTCTGCAATCACGAATCTGCGTACTACCTCATGGGTAGTCCGGTGGGTCCCAGTCCACTGCCGACCCTGGCTCGCACGTTCCA